GTGTTAGGAATCACACGTTAAAAGGTAAGACCTCGTTAGTCCTTAGCTCGCACAAGTTTCTCAACTTCTGAGAGTTGTCGTTCGTATGGGGGCGGCAGCTGATTAACGGAAAAACAGATTTTAAACAGAAACAGACAGATATACTCTTAAGAGAATAAGGAGATCTGGTGAATAAACTTCACCAGCAAGCAACTTGAACAAAAAGCATAAGCCAATTTCTATTCTTCTGGTCACCAGAGTGAATACTGACGAAATTTTTCTTCCTTTTTTGTTTATATAGTTTTTCTTGAGTCTATGTAATCCAAACACCAGAAACCAGAACGCACATATTTGTTTGTTTACTTCTCAATGTTTAAAAAAAATCTGTTTTTCCGTTAATCAGCTGTTGCCCCCATACGAACGACAACTCTCAGAAGTTGAGAAACTTGTGCGAGCTAAGGACTTACGAGGTCTTACCTTTTAACGTGTGATTCCTATACATGTAAAATCGTTGGTGAAAGCACAGCTGAAGCGTTTTGTTTATTAAAGGCCCTATGACACTTTCATATTTTGTTTATCTTCTTATGAAGTTTGCTTATCAAAAATTCAACAAATGCTTCGACATGAATAGGTAGTTCTTTCCAATAAATCTAACAAAAACTTCTGCTAAATGTGAACCAAAAAAGCAAGTGTAAAAGTGATCATATGGCACAAATTCACTGCCTCATAGGCAGGCACAGGGGGTGTAACATATGCATCTTTGTATGTAGTCATTATTACTAATGTCCAATTCCATAATAAGCACTAAATACTATTGCATTAAAACAAAAACGTTGTTGTTAAGGTTATGATTCTATATATTTTATCATGATTTTTCCTCATCTGTATAATTTCCGTGCCCTACTGCAAGAGATAGATTAAGGCTAAAACGTCAGTCATTTTTGAGAATTTAGTAGGTACCTAATATTTTGGAACTAAAGTATACAGTGCAATGCAAATAACTTTCACTCAACATGAATGTACCCAGATTATATAAGATATACGCATTGCATTCCAGTTTAAATGAGCCATCTTCAAAAGGTCATTTAATATTAAGACTAAAAAAAATCATGAAACACACTAACTTAATTTTTCAGACAAACACTCCTACCTAAAAATTAATTCCTGTCAGCCACCAACTTCCCATAATGACACACATGTCAAAAATTTCAAATTGGAATGATAGCCGAGTGTAACTTAAAAAGCCTTTCAATTATGTATTCAACTCTGTAATTTTTGTGTGTCAACGTCATCGGTTACTCTGGTCATTAGCCTCGTGTTGTGGGTAGACAATATTAATAATTTTCCGAGTAACCTAGGGCGCATCTTAGCTATGCGCAGTCCGTCAGCAATGTAACGTTCTAAAATTAGCGATGCCTCACCAATTTTTATTAGGTAAGATAACAATGCTAAAGTGGGCAAAATGGCTAGATCCCTTAGTTGCTAAACATAACTTTGTCGAATAGGTATCTAGCTACAGGGTGCAGTCACGACAACGCTCGCTCTGGAAGCCCCAGCAAACAGCAACCGATGAAAATGTTGAGAAAGTGAAGAAAATTGGAGAATCGTCGAATCATTATTAGAGAATTTGCTGAGGATTATACTGGGCATAAAGCGTGTGGCAGCGAAGTTCATTCCAAAACTGCTGAATTTTGACTCAAAAAACAGTAGCATGCGCATCGTTCGAGAATTCTTGAATGACGTCAACGGTGATTCAGATTTGCTCAAAAGCGTCGTATCTGGTGCCGAATCATGAATATATATGGTTATGATGTCGAAACCAAAGTCCAATCGTCCCAATAGAAGAGTCCAGGAGAACTAAGACCAAAAAAGCAAGTCAAGGTTTTGCTCACTGTTTTCTTTGATTATCGTGGCGTAGTGCATCAGGAGTTCTTGCCATGTGGTGGTACGGTCAATGAAAAGTATTATCTTGATGATATGCGTCGCTTGCGAAAAGCGATACGAAGAAACCGTTGGTATGGTGGAAAATTAATTCGTGGCTTTTTCATCACGATGCACCTGGTCACTCGTCATTGCTTGTTCGTGATTTTTTGGCCAAAAACAACATCAGACTAAGGCCTGCTCAGCCACTGTATTTACCAGATTTGGCTTCCTGCGACTTTTTCCTGTTCCCCAGATTGAAGAAACCCGTTAAAGGACGGCGTTTTGCGGCTATTGAGGAGATAGAAACTGAATCGCTGAGAGAGCTCAAGAACTGACCAAAAAGTACAAATCAGAACTGCTTTGAGGATTGGAAAAAACGCTGGCATAAGTGTATTATATCTTAGGGAGATTACTGTGAAGGAACAAAAAAAAAGATATTAAATGAATAAATATTGTTTTGGAAAATTCACATTATTTTATGAACAGCGAGGTCTGTTCATAAAATAATGTGAATTTTCCTAAATTGATGTCGGTGAAGAGGGAAGAATGAGTGACGGGGCAGTTTATCGGTCTTCGACTCTTGGAAGACACTTGCTGAACAAGGAAAAATTTTTCATTCGCATGTCAATGCCATTGCCAAATGATGACGTAGATTTTTCATATCATTGTGTAGGAGACGAGACATTTCCGCTACAAAAAAATATGGTGCGACCATACCCACGTAAAGGATTCTTTATAATGAGATGATCAGTGACGGCTTGTGCATTGGAGAACAGGGGAGGCTTAAGTCATATAGACTATATACACACAGAAAAGCCCGCCGGAGGCGGGCAAACCCATCATAGGTTTGCGCAATCAAATTTTGCCTAAAATTATTGGTGTCACACGTAGGTACGAATTAAAAAATTAAACAAATCGTCAGCTGTGCGTCCAGATGAAACATCATGAAAACCCATAAAACGTTCTACCACATTACCATATTTGACATATCTAAAAACGATTGAAAGTTGTGATGTACAGGTAATATCGGTAGTTTCATCAATTTCCCATGCAAAAAAAAGAAACACTTTCAATTTCCTTGCTTATTTTCCTTAATAATGTATGCCACACTGTCTATAATAAGCTCATTTTGGATGGTTTTTGAGGTGCCCGAAAAAACGCTACCGTTTAAAAAAGTGCCAAATTGTGAATCATATTTGCCCCATAACACGAGGTTCAATCGACTATATCGTCAGATTTTTCAATTTCGTCCAACTTATTCATAATAAATGAAAAAAAAAAAACTTACCGAAAAGTGAAAACCTGAAAACACCTTGAAATAACGTTATTCGTTCATGGGCGGTGCGTTTGACTTTTGTTGATTCAGGATACGTACTACATAGTGAGTGATAGTTTTTTTTCGGGCATATTATGTATTTATATTAAAAATTAATGGTAAAGTAATGATACCCAATCATTTTTAGACAAAAATAATTATATTTATTTGTCGATATCTTTCAATTTATTGCGATGAATAGCCTCAAATTTTATGGGGAGGCTAAGCCTCCCTTGCCTCCTCTGACGAGCCGCCGCTGGAGATGATGATCGAGGGGAATGCGCATTAGGAATGCTAACATCCAAATTCGAAGGTAAGAGGATACAGCGATATCAGTCATCAAATGTGCTCGTATTCTCCATAATTTTTTAAAATCATAGAGGGTACGTTTTCAGATTGTAAAAGATAGCACCAGACGTAGAAATCTACTAGCTTATGATATACCGATATACGATATACCACCCATTAACCAGCCCGCTTACGGTTTAAGTGATTACTTGGAATCATATTTTTTTTAAACCAAATAAACCTTAGCTTGGCAAGGTAATTATTCCGTATAATAAAGATCATGTTATATACACAGTAAATTGTTTTATTTTACCATGATATATAATGAAGATCTGTTACTGGTTTGTTGGCAACATTGGTTAGAAAAAAAAAATTGTAGTTCGTTCAGATCTGTAGTTCAGATATTCTGTGATTCAGGTTCAGGTTAGGATAACAAATGGAAGTAGGAGTTATTTGTGATTGAAATTGGATATGAGACTTTTTGCTGATCACTACTTTTTTCAATATGTTTAGTACGCTTTGAACCTTCAATTATAAAAAAATGGATAAGACTACTTTACCAGTAATTGATTCTCAATATGATTTGTATCTACAAGAAATTGAAGGCATAGATGATTATTGGGGACCGACTTTCAGGTATATTTTTTAATGGAAGATTTTTCAACACATTACTGATTCCTCATTTCAGAACAATATTTGATAATGATGAACATGTGGAGTTCAGGAAAAAGCTGGAAGATAGAATCAAACATCATGATAAAGATATAGAAAGACTTTGCAATGTTTACTACCAAGGTTTCATTGAATCTGTAAAAGAGTTGCTGGAAGTCAGATCTCAGGCTAAGAAACTGAATGTAAATTCTATGATTAACTATTATACTTTTGAAGTGCTTATTGATGTATTTTTTAGAGCCAAGTAATAGGCTTGGATAAACAGGTACACCTTGCAGCTGAGGGAATAACAAAATCTGGTACAGATTTAATACAAGCTAGGAAAGTGCAGAGTAATATTGCAGAAGTTATTGCTCAGCTAAATTTATGTTTGCCTGTTTTTACTACTTATTCCAAATTACAGAAACAAATATCAGAGAAACGGTTGGTTTTGTTATAATTACTTCACAATTAGTATGTGTTATACAATATGTTTGTTACAGATACTATCCAGCACTAAAAACTCTAGAAGAATTAGAACATTTGCATTTGCCCCATGTAGCAAATTACCGATTCTCAAAACAGTTGCAAGTAATTATACCAAAGTAGGTTTATATAAAAATTGTTTTTTGATTGTTGTAGCCAAAACGGTTCAAACCCTGGTGTAATAACTAATTTGTCAAAATATCTAAATACTATACCGGCTATACATTATTGCTCGTTCTTTTTGTCATCTTGTCTTACTGTTACCAGAATATAAAATTATTCATCTATATCACATTTCGTAGAAATCAGAAAAACTTGTTTTAATTTCCAATATTATTGGATTCCTCTACCGGAGTAAATTCCAAAAGTAAAAATTTGTCAGAAATTTTTTATTGTCTTGATTTTGATATTTTACATATAGGACACTTGGGCATCAATTATCAGTAAATATAGATAGCAAGATCACACTCAATCAAAAGGACTCAGAAAGACAGTCAGAAACCTCATACTGTTTTTTTGCTTACACCTTCAGTCTTTTGATCACTTCAACCATTTTCAATATGACTTGATGACCTTCAGACTTTAAATTCAGTCGTAATTATTCCCACACTTTTTGTTCTCCAGAGAAAAAATATGGGTTTTCTTTGAATTCTTAGAGTCATTTATATTCAGTCCTACTTTTCCGCTCTTTTCATTTCCGTTACGAAAAATGTTGGTTTCCATTCAAAAAAGTTACTGACCTACAAATAATGTGCAAGGGGATGATCAGGGTTAAGTCATAGGTTAGAGGTATTTAATTTTCTTACCGTCTAAGACCTTGATTATATCTGCGCATCATTTCTACGATCAGAAGTAGAAAATTATTTAAGTGAAAACGAAAACATTGATTCAACTATTTATTAAATAAAACTGCAATGGTCCAGTAAAAGTTCACTGGGCGAGTTGAAGATTGGTTTAACAGATATGATTATTATATAAGTAGATAATTGTTGATAGGTAAATGAGTAACCTACTTGTAGGTACTTACATAAAAAGTTAAAATTACACAATTTCATTATTACGGATTTCACAATAATATTATATTGTTATAGTTGGCAACCTAACTCATAGTATTCTGTTTCATTGTCAGACAGTTTTGGTATCTTCTTCAACATTTATTCAATTTACTCTCTCAGTATATTCTTCTTCAATCTTCTCTACATGTTTGCAAATATTTCATTAGTTTTGAATTGTCACTTTATGAAATTATTCTTCTGTTAGCCTCCGCACATCAGCTAGTTTGAATGAGACATTATGGACTTCTACCTCATTCTTTACTAGTGTTACAACTTGTACAACTATGGTTTGCTCCCTAGTAATTTTGATCGTTAGTACGCCTTGAGGAAATTGAAATTTCTCATGTAAAAGAGGCAAGTTTTCTAGAGTAACAAAAATGTTACCTGGTTACACCAGGGTTTCTAAATATCTTAGATAGGTATATTACTCTTTCAAATATTTATAGGTATAGGGAAAAAATTGAAGTTGCATCTATGTCGGACCTGAAAGACTTCTTGGAAAATATCAGAAAATTCTCTCCAAAAATAGGGGAAGTAGCAATGAGACATGTGAGTGGTGTACTTATTTTTTCATATAATATAATATATCGCAATGTTTTCTAGACACACGAGCAGCTCGCCAGTGATCCAACCGTAGTTGGAAGAAAAAAGAAGAGAAATGCTCCCCAGCCACCTGGTAGGTAGATATTGAAACTTCTAATACCCAAAACATTTGGATTAAGAAAGGGATCAAATATAATGATCTCCATAACATGTATTTGAAGACCCAATTTTGTAAATGATCACCACATTTTGACGAGCAAATTAGTGAATAAATGAACCACTATGACTGCAATAAAATGTAGGATTATTACACAACAAAGTATAAAATTAAGTTAGATTTTATATTTAAATGGGTTCTTAATTTTGGTGAATATTGACTTTTTTATGTGGTCAAAAGTATTAATTTTTGGTAAATCTACACTTTTCTGGTGATATAAAATATTTATTAAGTGGTAAGTTAAACATAAGTCATTTAGAAATAAAATATCTAGACATTCAGTTAAATTTGGCTATCAATTTGGTTACCAACGTTTTTTGGTAATAGTGAATTAATTGGTGTACTTATTGGTGAATTAACACTTTTTTAGATGAAGGCAGTCCAAACATCTAACATTCATTATAATTTTACACATGAAGGTCAACTTAAACTATATGTTAGATCTTACATTGAGTTTCCATAAGAAATTCGAGATAAAGTGAAGTTGATAAATGGTAAAACAGGAACCTCTGGCGTAGAATAAATCCAAAAACAAGTTGGCGTCTTCACGAGATGAATAAAACTAATTACTAACTCTAAAAACCTCTATTCATATATAACTGGGTATTCTTTCACTTTCTGAAACATCAATGATCTTTTTGTTTTTTATTATTAAAAATATAACACTAGCGTACAGGTTCAACATAGTTAAGACACAAATATAAAATATGTTGTTATTCTCCCTAATCAGCAAAAATGCTGGTTTCGGGATTCACAACCATTCAACATGACAAGTGAAACAAAAAACTAGTAGACCACTACAAAGCTCATAGTAGTAACGCATCAGACATGCATCAGACAGATGTTTTTTAAACTATTGATGAATGAACTATAGCCCGGCAATTCACATATATTGACAGGTAATTCATTAAAGACTTTTATAGCCTTTGTTTTTTTTACCATGGTTAGGTGTATGTCATTTCTACCCCTTGTATACCTACTCATAAAACTGGTTGTTGACTAGTAGATCGTTGTTGCTTTTGATTATTTTGTTTTTTATTTTATATATGTTCTTGCATTGCTCAAGTTTAAGTAGATTGGGTGTAGTTCAGTCTGTGAGAATAAATAATTTCTGTGGGTTCGAAATGAAGTGAAAATCGATTGCCATGCCTTGCGGTTCGATCCATCAGTTCACACAGCGGTCGATTGAGTGAGTGGATCAAACCACCCACGTCAACCCAACCGGCTACCGTCCCACTATTTATGGGATCAACAGAAGACTCATTCCACGAATATCAAAGATAAACGAGGCTCCCCAAAGCAAAGCTTTGATATTCACCTTCGATCGAGATTCGTCTGCAAAGCAACTAGAGGAAACCATAGCCCAAAGACAAAATATTCGTGGATTGAGTCTTTTGTCGATACAATAGAAGCGTCTTCTTAAGGGAAAATGGCTTGTCCTTTAAAGACAGTTTAGTCCACCAATACATTGGTTTCTGCCTAGCACCACTGATGTTGCCTAGCACCTGGTGTTGTGTGATCAACACCAGGAAGTGTTGAATAACACTATTATATTATTGAAAAGATAGGTTTTCTGATCGCCGAAAATATCTTTTTCAGGGAATTTTTCTGAAGAGGACCGTAGTGCTCAAGAACTCATAGACTTTTCTCCAATCTACAGAGGATTACATATTGCCCATGTTCTCGGAAGATCTTCCACATTTGAAACCTATTATAGAGCAGAAAGGGCGAAACAAGCAAGGCTTGTTCTACAGCCCCCTACAAATATGGTGAATTAGTACAATCATTCAACTGATTTTTTTACTTATGATTCATTGTTTCAAGCATGAATCTGAGGACAGTTACAGGACATATATTCAAGCAGTTCTGGGCTTTTTCATTTTGGAGGATCATGTCCTGAACACTGGTAGAGGACTGATAACTAGAGTTTTTTTGGATGATATGTGGAACATGGCACTCTCTAAAATCGTTACAACTCTACAGACCCATTCGGTATGTTGATGGCTTCTTTTTTTCCCTTTGTTAGTGAAAAATAACCAAATGTACAAAAATTGAAATGTACCTTTCATATAATATTCGAAGAAGTAATCCACAATATAATATTTAGAAAGTAACTTTTTCACATGTAATATTTTTCCGCGTTGTTATTTCTGTTGAACTAGATTGTGAGAAACATTGCTTTCATAATGATTATTTTTGAAGTGGCTTTAGGGTTCCAATATTTTATAACTCACTCTTCTTATGAATCCTTCATGAAATGAGTTTCATCAATTTTTTTAATTTTGGTCAGTAAAATTCCTTATATTAAATTTTAATATCTTGATACATTCGAAGAATGTAAACTTTCATGGCTGGAGATAACTATATGAGGGCTATTTTCTGGTCGTGACCTGCAGGTTTTTATGCCTGACGTTTTGTCCACTGCCGCGGTATACATTTTCAGAGGCAATGTGGTAAAGGTTGCGAGCTGGTGCTCTGGTTCTTGTTCCTGTTGTATCCAACGCATTAACTACTACTTCCTTACTGGGCGCTTTATTTATATCGTTCCTAATTGTATTACCTGTTCGTGTACCTTTAAGGACAAGTAGCCAGCTTTCATTAATGTTCATTGTCTCTTCTTTTCTATTGAAATTATCCCTATATTTTTGAATCTCTATTGCCTCTCTATACAGGGTGTTTCAAATTCGATCCTCACCATTGGAATCTCGGAAACTATGAGAGANTGCAATTTATTAATTTTTATTGAAAAGGACACAATGTCTAACTTACCTCATAGATACCTCATTTATCAAATGTTCTTTAGTTTTCTGGTCTATTCTGTCTCCGTATTTTTTCCTCGGCTTTTCAAATGAACCAAACTCGGTGAGATTTTGATCCAATAACTTGTCGTCTTTCGGGATACAACTTTAAACACATTTCCGATGTCCTAACACTGTTTCTATCGTATTTGTAATAAATTTATATCATATCTCTTGTTTCTTCATTCATGAAAGCCATTTTTCGCCAAAAATTCCATGACTTGTACAATAACAAAATGTCATTGAGTGTAACAAATTGAAAGTCAAATTTAGAAACATCAAAGTCAAAGCCTATTATGATGAGAATTAATTTTTTTCAATATCTCCAATTTTTCGAAAAAAAATGATAACTTATCATCATTGAAAATGTAAAATCGGATCCCTATACTTTGTTTCGTGGTTCCGATGTAGACCGACCCGCAGACCGACCGGTATAATCCTGGCGTTGCTAGAGGTTCTCTAGGGTCCTCAGCTGACCTGAGACTTAGCCTGATGGTTTTTGTTGGCCTAAATATAAGTTTCACGTCTAGTTTCACCAAGATTCTACCAATCCGATCTGTGACATTTTTGACATAGGGAAGGAAATCTTTTCCCGTGACTGGCCTAGCTGGGTTTGCTTTGGTGTTTTCTCTCCTGAGTCGTATGGCCGGCTCAAATACTCTTTCGCTGTACCAATTACGTTTGAATGCATTTTTCCGGTGATTCAGTTCTTCAGGCAGACCCTTAGGTTCACAGATTCGTCGTGTCTCTCGATCATCGTTTTAATTACCCCTCTTTTTTGTTGTGGCTGGTAGTTCGAGTTTTTGTTCAGGTATCTGTCTGTGTGCGTTGGTTTTCTGTACACTTGGTGGCCCAGTGTACCGTCTTCACGCCTGTTCACAAGAACATCCAAAAAGGCTAGAGTCACTTGGGTTTCTCGTTTCACTATGAATTGGATTTTTGGGTTGAGCGAGTTAAGATGTAAAAGAAAATCTGTTAGTGTATCTTCCCCATCTCGCCATATCACGAACGTGTCATCAACATAACGTAGCCAACAATATGGTTTCACGGCCGCTTGCTGTAAGGCCCATTGTTCAAAATTTTCCATTAAAATCATTAATTTCAATTGACCAACGAAATTGTCTACAATCTTAAGATTTGTGCATCCTCAAATATCTCAGCCTGGAGTCTTGTGCTTTTCCGCTATCGCTCAATTTTGCGTCAATCTCCGATAAGTTCGATTTAGGTTTCTCAGTAATTCTAATACTGAGTAATTATATTACATAAAAGTTCATAAAATAAATTACTGCAATTTGTAATTAGTTGAAATAACATTGGTACACATTTTAATTTTTACAGAAATTAATTTCACTGACATGATATGAATGTGTAAAATAATATTGATGCTATAAATAATGATTTTTAGGCATATTGTACTGATGCTACCTTAATTCTCAAAATAAAAGACTTGATCATGCTGTTCTGTACCACATTGAGGAATTATGGATATTCTGTTAAACCTTTATGGGAGCTTGTTAGAGAATTGCGTGACCACTACACAGAAGTCTTGATGCAAAGATGGGTGCAAGTTTTCAGAAAAATTTTGTCGGAAGAAGATTTTCAACCTATACAGGTAAAAAATTAAGTGAATTTCTTAGGATTATTCCTATTTCGTAAAACTTCGTAAATGATTGTTCTCTTTCAACAAACTAAAACAGTTATATTTTATATTTGAAATTAAACAACATTCAACAAATTGACACACATAATTTATGTATTTGCTTATTTTTGAAATATTGAACATGCAATGTTTGGGATATTCTCTTCAAAAAATGTTCTAAGTGTATTTATTAAATTATTTTTCAGTTGTCTTCAATACTCTCAAAATTTTCTGATTGATTCGGCCGTTAATTGATGAAGATTCATAGTAATTTCAAAAACTACACCTCAACGATTTGATCTCCACAAACTTTATTTGAAAAATATATCACAACATTTGATTTGACAAATCACGTGACAAAGCTAATGTCTTAGCGAAACATGTTGTGATATATTTTTCAAATAAAGTTTGTGAAGATCAAATCTTTGAGGTGTAGTTTTTGAAACTCTCAAAATTATCAAAAAAAAGTAATTAATTCTTTTGCTTGTTGCACTAAAATTATTGTAACCGATTACATATTTTTAGCTTCAGTAAAACCAAACAACAGATGAGTAGAATTGTAGAATTTTATCGGATCTCCGCTGAACGTCAATAGACATTTTTTTAAAGCACTTTCAAGAACACTTTGAATTTTTTCATTTGACGATTAATCCATCCTCTTATCTTGGATGTGGTTGTCTACAAATATTGTAGTTTTCCCTGTACAATTATTTTATAAACTGACAATCGAACCTTGAACAGAGTTTTTTTGAGTTTTCTTTTTTAGTAGGTTCTTGAAATATTATTTATGTCTGAGTCGAAGGACCAAGTGATTATTTCATAATCTGAATTAATGTTTTTTCATGCTTGGAGAGTCATATAATTGATTTGAAAGGATACGTGTTTCATGCATATCAAGTACATTTCAAATGAAATTCATAATTTCCTTCAAAAGTTTAATCCCTGTTTTAGTCATTTTCATGTCATTGGAATGATACATCACAATTTCAAAGATCACAACATCCTCATTCAACTTTTGATTTGTTTTTTTGGTGTATCAACATTGACACTATGGTTATTAACCTCGTTATAGGTAGTCTATGTTTATAATTTCCTGAGCCACGTAGGTAGCACCATTAGTCTTGTCAGCCATGTATCGTATCAAAATACATATACCTCCAGATAGATAAATTCTTTTAACTATTGGTCAACAGTTTGTAATCCTAAATTTTGTGTCAAGTAAATCTACAGTGGGGATAGTCATAAAAGAAACTAATAATGAATATTAAAATTAGTTGAAATGGAATTCTGAACATTTTTTCTTCAGGTTACCCATAGTTAATTCAAATTCAAAATTTCAATGGTTACGTTTCCTTGTTTTCGTTTCATTATTTGTATTGTTGTAAATCATGCCTTAAAGAAAGTAACGCCGGTCGTCGCTGGTAGCCATAATTCAATGGTGACGTGACCAAGATCACTCCTAACTCGACGTGTGCTAGCGGCCGTTCCAGACGTGGCGTTGTTTCGATATGATCGCGCCGCTTCGATAGAATTCCTCATAATTTTCTACGACCTTCGATTTCCAAATATAAACACGATCCACTCGCCTATCGGGACAGTAAAGTGGAAGTGACAGTGCGGTATGCGGAGCGATCTAGTAAGGCGATAGATATTCGAATAATAGTTGAAGATGTAGTCGAAATGTTTTGTTATATTGAAAGTGAAATTAAGTTGAGTTTAATTATTGTTCAGTGTATTCAATTATTGATAAACCCACGGGGAGAAACGTAACAGTATTTTGAACGGCTCTGTATACAAATCTTATTTTTCTCACGTATTTCCTGCATATCAATTGGATCTGTTGACTGACAGTTACATAATGTATGCCTCTTCTTCGGCTCTCCCACAAAATTGAAGAATAGAATAAAAGCACTGCCCTGTGATAATGAGGAATTTCTTCTGAGGAAACTAGATTCGCCTGAAGTCTCAGCATTTTGGTCTCGAATAGATTAGAGTTATGATGAAAGATATATTTGATGATTTGGGCGGCAGGGTGCTTAGCTCTGAAACATGGAAAAGTGAAACAAAAATGCAACAAAAACAAGAGACTATGAAAATATTTTCACCACTGAATGATAACTAATTGATACCCCTTAAGATTATTCTTTTTCATTTTGCCTCTCAAGTGATGACAAGGGATATTCGAAATTTTCAACTATGTTAAATGTCCTTGGTCTATTACCAATACAAAATTCAATTTTTTTTAACTGAAAATTCACTTATTATACTTTCATTTTCATAAATAGTTGAATATTGCACAAATGCATAAGTTAATAACATAACTACATATATGTTTGCTGAATCTCGGAAAAAAACAGTGATCCTAACTCTTACTGGTAATACTGAATTAACTAAACAAAAGTCTATTTAATTAAGCATTACGTCATTTGCTTTGATAGGTGTTTTACTTAACAAGGTGAACTGTTGTACTTTTTATTGGTTTTAAAATTCTATTTATCTGATATACATTTAGCATGTTTTTAAATTATTTCATATTTAAATATATTGTTTCTTTAATTTTTTCATTATCATACTTCTTGAGAGTTTCAATATGTTCCGAATATCCAACACTCAGTTGATTTAATGTGCCCTTGTTCAAAATGTATTTGGCCTCCTCAAACCTTATTTTGAACCATTATTCCTCGATATTGGTAATTGTTGCTCGATACAACAAACTAAAACAGTTATATTTTATATTTGAAATTAAACAACATTCAACAAATTGACACACATAATTTATGTATTTGCTTATTTTTGAAATATTGAACATGCAATGTTTGGGATATTCTCTTCAAAAAATGTTCTAAGTGTATTTATTAAATTATTTTTCAGTTGTCTTCAATACTCTCAAAATTTTCTGATNTCGTCGCTGGTAGCCATAATTCAATGGTGTCGTGACCAAGATCACTCCTAACTCGACGTGTGCTAGCGGGTGTTCCAGACGTGGCGTTGTTTGGATATGACCGCGCCGCTTTGATAAAATTCCTCATAATTTTCTACGACCTTCGATTGCCAAATATAAACACGATCCACTCGCCTATCGGGACAGTGAAGTGGAAGTGACAGTGCGGTATGCGGAGCGATCTAGTAAGGCGATAGATATTCGAATAATAGTTGAAGTTGTAGTCGAAATGTTTTGTTATATTGAAAGTGAAATTAAGTTGAGTTTAATTATTGTTCAGTGTATTCAATTATCGATAAACCCACGGGGAGAAACGTTACAGTATTTTGTACGGCTCTGTATACAAATCTTATTTTTCTCACGTATTTCCTGCATATCAATTGGATCTGTTGACTGTATCCTATAAGTGAATATATGAAAGTGATGAATATTTATTTTAAGACAAATAATTCGAATGGTTTCAACTTGATATATTTCAGGTTCATCATCAAGATCAGTTGAACGAAATACTCTTGTCATTTCCATGGGAAGGAGACTTACCTGATGATATAACTTATCCATATAGTTTTCCTTTTTCTAGTATGGTACCAAAAGTATACCGAGAAGTCAAAGAATTCATCTATGCCTGTGTCAAATTTTCAGAGGACCTCAATTTGAGGTAACTTCAAATTTTCCAAATAGTTTGTTTTTTAACTGCTTAAAACCTATATTTAATCATTTGGTGTCATTCCAGTCATGTGGAGGTGGATGAAATGATAAGAAAATCAATGAATTTACTTCTCACCAGAACTTTCAATGGCTGTCTCTCATCCACTTTTCGAAGCCCACATGTTAATCTTCAGGAAATAATTCAAATTATAGTAGATACTGGTTATCTGGAAGAAGCCAACGTGTATCTTGATCAGTTTATTTCTAATATAACTGGGTGAGCTTATTTGTTTTTTTCTAAGGTGAAAGAATACTAAAATTTAAATAGGAAAACATTTGTTATTTCATAACATTGCAAGATCTTGTAGATTATCTCTGAACCAATCAAATTATGGAACTGTCTTATGAACTGATGAATCGAGAATAGTCCCAAAGGAGCCGAGTGCCAATTTGAAATTTTTCGAATAATTGCAAAAAAATGTTTAATTCATAAGCTAATGATTGTTTTAATTAAAAAAATAAAAATTTTAACAACGGTTAAGTGTAGGTCGACAGATTTAGTATTAAACAACCTTGTAGAGAAAATCTCCCAATCCCTTGACAACAAGGA